CACAGCTATCTCGGTAGTCTTGTTTCGTAACTAAATTTAGATTATTCATCCGGCAAGCCGCATAGCCGTAGAGGGCGCTATCAACAAGGCTACGGGTTGACTTATGACAATGCTTTCATTGGGGGGGGGGGGGGGGGGGGGGGGGGGAGGAAAGATGCCTCAAAAACTTTCACTTTTTCTGAATTGTTCCTTTTTATATTTTAGGGAAGGGGGGGGGGGGCACCTGGCATTCTGCAGGCACCGGCGTGGATTCGAATATCTCTCTTTGAAAGCGTAGGAACAACTACTTTTGTTGTCGACGAAAGTACTAAACATTTAGGGGTTTTCCTGGGTTGGTTTATTTTATTATCCGTATTTTCCATAGTGATGAAAACCAATGTTTCCATAGTGATGAACTCAAGCGAATACAGATAATTACAGTCTGGATATGAAACAATTGAAGATCTTTGTAAGCATTTTATTTGCTCAATGTATTTACAATAAAGCATTCGACTATAAACATGGATCACTGAATACTCGCAGGAAAGACACAAGACCTAATCTTATCCCGTATAGTCTAAAATACGGTACAATAATGTGTATTACTTTACGTATAGAGTTGTTAAATGTCGATAGTGAAATGTTTTAGAAAACAAAAATGACAAATTTACAATTTTAATTTTTGTTTAACAGCAACATTCAAAAATTCAAGGTTAATTTTCATGAACCATTTTCGAGTTAAAACACTTCAGGTACGTCTCTGAGCACGCAATTAGTGATTGCGAACTCGCATACATACGAAATAATTAGGTTCTATTATAATGTTATTATTGTAACGCTGTGCTTCTTGGGTTCAAGTGCATCACTGAAACACTGTCGACTCGTTTGCATCATAGAATTATGTTCATGCAGTTTGCAACAGGGCTCAATTTCATGGCCCTGCTTATCATTCGCGAAAAATCCTCGCTTAAAGGGCTCATGCAATGTATTTTATTTAACGCAATCATTGGAAAATCACTTCTGTGTCTCATTTAATCCTATTTTGAATTTTTCGTTTTGCCATTTTCAAGGGTATTTTTATGTCTTTTTGGTTTTTATGCAAATACGAATTACCACGTTCATGAGCATGTCGCTATTTCAGTACCAAAAAGTTGCCAGAATTTTTAGATATTCGCTGTCATAAATTATATTTTCTGTTGGTGATTTGTTGTTGTGTCAGTACATGGCAGTAGCCATTGAGCAAAATTTTCTCACAAATGTTTTCAATAGGCAAAGTTTCAAAACTTTTGATTTCACAATTTGAACAGAAAACCCCTCAACTGCAGACAGTGTCTTCCTGAAATGACATAGCAGCAACAGCGCCCTCAGTTGTCCATTTAAGAGGAGTAGAAGGTTGCATGGTTGCACAAAATATCTTCTTAAGAAAGATTTACTCCATGGACCCTTTAACGTAGATGAAATTCTGACTTTTTTCATTGACTAGCACTGTTAGCACAGAACGGTGACCATTAATTGTGAAGTTAGCAGAGCCATATTAAATACAGGGCCCTGTCTTTAACATTGATAGATGTTCAAGTTGTAGATTAGAATGCGCTGGTTCTTGTCTCCGTATTGGTGTGCGAAGAGTTGAGTGGTAACGTACTGGTACGTTGATTGACAGCATCGTAGTGAACGGCAAGATTGCCGTTGGAAGAATCTCCAGTTGTGCTGTAATGTAGAGGCAGTGCATCTTTGTCTTGGTCGCTAGGACTCTTCTTACAAGGACAGCATCGGGTCAGGGTATGGAGGATTCTGGTGATAAGACGGTCTAAGGGTGCCAAGGAGTGCATCCATAGGGGCAGAGAGTCCCAGGTACGGAGCTTCTTGGGAGAACCTCGGGTTTCTTGTGCTGCAAGATGTTGACGATGACGATGAGATGAGGAGGAGGAGGACGGGAAGGCCAATGGCAAGCAGGAGCCAGATGCTGATCAGAGACATCCCGAAGACGAACAGCGGCAGCAAGAAGAACATGATGATTAGGTAGAAGATGGCAAACCAGCGGTACTTGGCTGTGGTGTTGCCCAGTGCCTTAGCAAAGAAGATAGGCACCTTACGCATGAAGGGACTGGATACCAGATCAAGATGCCGCTGATGTTGAAGAAGAGGTGGCATAGAGCGATCTGGATGCTATTCTTGAGCTTGTCCCCTGAGCTAGCCATGGCGGCGAGCAAGCTTGTAGCCGTGGTACCAATGTTAGAGCCTAGAGTCATCGGGTAGACGCGGTCCAAGGTTATCACACCCAAACCGACTAAGGGAGTCAGAGCCGAGGTGAAGACGGAGCTGCTCTGTACGAGGAAGGTCACCCCGGCCCCCACCAGTATAGCAAGGTAACCGGACAGCCAGCCGAACGGATGGGGGAAGTCGGCGTTGATGACCCGCTTGATGACGCTTGCCATACGGCCCTTCAAGATGGAGTTGAGGAGTTTGACCATGAGGAGGAGACATGTGCATAGAAGGATGAGCGTCAGGATGAGGAGAATGGCGCCCACGCCTCTCTCAGACAAACCGGTGTTGGCAAATAGGTATGAACCTGGTGTGTCGAAAATAACAACAATGATATACTTGATTTATTTTTGTCGAGTTTACCAGATGGGTCAAGTACAAGATGACCTGAAGCAAATGACCAGAATTTGCCAAGTTAACCATAATGAAGGTACGTGGAAGATTGCTTCATATCTTAAGATCAACTCGATGCCACAAGATAATTATCATCCATTAATAATCTTAAAGTGGTAAAAAGTATGTTCTCATTCGTTTTCCACTACACTTTACATGCCAGCATCTATACTCACATCTCTCCACTCCAACTTCTATGTACTCCGTGACCATGCCCGGGTTCTCCGTAAAGCCAGCGACCCCGGCCGTTGCAGCTGCCGTAGGTGGCGGCATAGTGGTGTTAGCCAGCACCGCTATCTTCTCCTTTTTACACCATTCCTTGAGGAGTTTGGCTTCGCTTGGATCGATCGTCCCAAGAGCGATCTTGGCCACAACTTTACTGTCGATCTAAATTGATGGGGTTTTTGGAAAGAAGGGAAGCATAGATTTGAGTAATTGAAAACTAATGGATAACGCCTCGTTGTTATTATGTGCGCGTGCAAACGATGGGCCTAATGTGGACCTCTGAGATGCTGTTACGGAAACCCTTGATGGAAATCGAATTTCTGTATAACAAAACAGTTTGTTGGCGGTGGGTGTATTGGGGTGGGTTCTTACTGCACACATTCTAGAAACTTAGTCACGTTAAGTATCATTTTCTAATGTCACGTGCTGACGTATGCTGCCCGAATAATTTGAATTCACGATTTAGCTGGAACATTGCTGAAGGCGATGAACTGTACAGACACCTGTACGCGCATGCGCACTAGTAAACAGGTGGCATATTACTACTTACGTCAATGATCTTCTTGGCAAAGGGTTTGGTGAGCACGCGCAGTAGCTCCACCTTGGACCCCTCAGTGGTAGTCACGTTTAACCCATCGACGATAGCCTGGGTGAAGTGGTACAGATACTTAGTAGCGCACTCCAGCGGCAGTAGGCAGATCACCGCCAGCCAGTTGAACATGTCGTGGATGGTAGCGGCTCCGAAGGCCCGACGGACTCGTTTCGGTTGCCGGACTGGGCCAGAGACGATGGTGTTGGTGACCGATGTGCCGATGTTGGCGCCCATCACGATGAAAATGGCCGGCTCCACTTGCAGAACTATGTAAGAAAAAAAGAAACAGTCAATGCCTTAAAGTTTCTTCCATACTTGGGCGTAAATCGGCTGTTGACGTCACAATCAGCATGGATTTCAAATCCGACTCGAAGTCAAGGTCTAAGATACAGATGGATGACACGTGAAATGCTCACTTCTCAACGAAGCTCAACTCTGAAGCAACATTGAGTAGGCAATGCCTATTGTCAATGTAACGCGATTGGCCACAAAAAAATAAAGAAAGAATTAAAGGAAAGAAAAAGTAAATGGATATAGTCTCACTTCAGCTGATACGATGGAGACAACGATGGAGGTTGAAGTGCTGGAGCTCTGGACCAGTACGGTGGCTAGGATGCCAATCATCAAGCCACATATGGGGTTGTTGAGAAGGGTGCTCTCGCTAAATACCTCCCGGCTTCCTTCCCTGGGATTAGGAAGACCAGAATTAATGTCAAATTACAGTGATATCATTTTGAATTTCAAAAAATGACGTTGAATGGTGTCTTCATTTTTTTAAGGCTAAGTTCGCTTTGAATGCTCACACAACTTAAAATGCTAATTTCTGGTAAATATGGATATTATATTCGAGGGTATAGCACATTAGGCCTATTCCAAGCTACGATTTTTCATTTGAAATTTAGTCCTCGTTATTTTAAACCAAATTTTAAAATGCTTGTATGAAAAAAATATACATTATGAATCGATTACATTTTCTTTACACCATGCTCGATTCATTTTAACCTTTGTTTAGCGATCTTTGAACAAACAGATGAATAAACAAAATGAGAATAGTTTTATAAAGTATTGTGGTTTAGTAATACTATTTATTTCTCACCTCCAAGTAACCTGAAGGCGGAACTCATCAGATCCAGTGAGCAGATGAAGAAGTAGAGCAAGATTAGAATAGCGATAGGCTTGCCGATCCACTCCACCAGGACACGGTACATTTTGCCCTTTGTCGTCAGTTCTGGGGAAAAGAGGACGGGGTATTTATAACGTAAATTTCAAGGTTTTTCTCTAATTACATGTGTATAAGGAACTGCTAAAATCGTGTTAGTTACTTACTTCAAGGCCAGATGGTTAACAAATTGCATGTGTCTTAAAGTATAGTCTTGCACCGTGAAGGGGGGTTGCCAGTGTAACTTTACAGGGTTTTAATTTCCCCCCTGTGAATATTCTCTCTCGTTTACTTCAAGCGTCTGCCTGGACCCACTTTTGAGGAACTCATAGACCGTATGCGATGCAGGTACCTCAGATGTGTTCATTGTTATTTCAATTTTGTCATAACAAACGTACGGGTTTAGTCATGCATATGTGATACAACCACTGCTCCCTATTCGCCTTAAAATACAAGGTCTATTAGATAAAAATAAAATACCGCCCTCACCTGACCATGGTTCGCTGGTCTGCTCTATCTCCGTCAGAGCCCAGGGGTCCACCTCCTCATCCAGCTCCCCCCATCGATGAACGAATCGACCGTCTTACGGACTCTCTTCTTGATGCTGGTCGAGTACTTGCGTGCGCGCACAGCGGCCCGACTGATGCTGGTCAGCCGGTTCGGACGGATGCCTGTGCCGGCGTCGGCCGGCTCCTCGACCTGCACGGAGATGAACGACTGTGATGATGAACGACTCCTTATCATCAATATTTTAAGCTAATTGAAGGACGTTATTTCATATTACACGTATCGTTTACATAGTACTGCCCAGGTGCTTGTGTGAGCAAAAATTCACAAGGTTAAGGTGCCTGTGTGAGCCAAAAGCAAAAAGCTTAATCAGACAACATCATTTTAATGATTTTCTACGTTAGTCATCCCCATGACTGCACGTCTAAAACAAGATAATGGGTGGCGGAAAATGAACATGAATCATTTCGGTTCGGCACCCTGAAAAAGCTGAAGTAAAACGCTAATTAGTTAACAGCGAGACAATAGTTTGAAATAGTTTGGATTACTTCTTTTTTCTTTCCCTCTTTTTATTTATGTTCAGCGAATCTGTATAGAGGAAAGGGAAAGACCACAGCATCGATTTAAAAACCGTCACGGTACTATTTCTCTGGGTTCCGTGTCCCCTTCCTTCGGATCTGCTATAGTGCGCATATTACGCTTATTTCTATTTCGAGCGACACGAGACATAATTATGCATGGGATCGCCAATTGCAAGACATTGCACCGTGACTTTTATCTGAACAATACTCTATAATGTAAAATATCCGCAAAAGGCTGTGGTCACATTTCCTTGCTTAATTCCTCGCTGTCACAAATCTGTGTTATAAGTAGCTCTCTGCATGATTCATCAATTTCCTGCCACCCTTCTCCAAGTTCCCACTGAGACCTCCTTTCTTTAATTTAGCTATGCCTTCCAGCTGTAAAGCACATGAGACAATACCAGATATATGGGGTGATATCCTGGACAGATTATTCTCTTCCGTTGCTGTTCTTCCCAATGGGCCGTCCCAACCTAACGTAGGATCATGGTATTAGTCACTTCTCGATTCTGTAACCCCTCATACTGATCTGTTCTGTATTACTTCTAGCTTATATACTCTTCAAAAGTATTGATGTTTTATATACAGTTTTTACGTTTTTCAGTTCTACGGAGGTCTGTTTGCAACTTTTTTTCAAAGACATTGCAAATTCCATTACAGGCAACGTCTCGTTGACAAGATTCCAAGACCACTTGTGATTATGCTTGATTCCAGGTAGAATTTTAGATTTAAATTTATAATTTATGTCATGATTGTAATATAAAGTATTACCTTTGCTACTAAACTAAAGGCACTAAAAACTGCGAGAGTGGTGCTCCATTGTGGGAAAAATACCACTTTTAACATAGTTAGGAACCCATCTCTCATCGCAGCAAGTTTTCATTTGTTCTTTTTCAGATGGATGCGTTCGTATCATTTATAACCAGAATCGGCAAAACTTTCAAGAAATCCTATAAGCGGTACTGGATCTGTTACCGAAGCGGGGGGGGGGGGGGGGGGGGTTAATTGATTTTTCTTTGGAGGGGGGTATTGGTGGAACTTTGTATTACACAAACTAATGGAAGGCTACCTCGGGTTCTGGTTTAGAGAAAGAGAAGGCCTATCATCCCATCCCCACACAAACCTCACCAAACCCCACCCGCCTCAGCCCGTGCCTGCTGCGCCATGAGGAAGTCTTTAACTTGAAGAAGAGACAACGAACAATGTGTTATCTTGGGCGTCGCCAGGAGTTTTTCCGGGGGGGGGGGCAAAGCAAATTTTTCCCAAAAATTCCTTAACTTTTTCATTAGGGCCTATATTCTCAATTTACTTTTTCGGAGCGTGAGCAGGGGAGCATTTGCTTGCCCCCTTGGCCCCCCCCCCCCCGCGACGCCCATGTGTGTTATGTTCTGGAGATCAGAGTTAATATTATGAGCGGCAGATGACGGTCTTTTGACCCATGTAGACGTCATTTTAACCTAGTAGCCCTACGTAGTCAGCAATGATTCACTCCGAAGCAGATCCGATTCACGGAAACACAGGATATGAGGAATTACGCATTACATCACTGTGATTAAGGACTCCGTGTTTTGGAATTATCATAAATACAGTTGATTGTTTCAATGTCTTATGTTTGGTCATGCATATACGTCTATTATCTGCGCAAGAGTTTTGGTCACATCTTTCTGACGATGTTCAAGCATGAGTGACAAAACAACTTTTTTCCTGATATCATTCTCTTAAAATCTTGAAAAATAAAATTCCGATGTACTACAGACAGACCAAATAAACTGTCTTCTAGAAGATGAAGTAGGACTGGATTTGCTCTGAAGATTTTTCTCCATGCGGGATTTAATCGCTTGGATTGGAACTTCATTGTGCGAACTTAGACCGTGTGAGCAGCTATATCAGAAACATTTGGAACCTGAGAAATCGTCAAACTTTGCGAGTTGGAAACTCTCAGGCTCAAACAAGTCAGCCTTATCAAATGCACACACCCGAGTTAGTTTGCTTAATTAATTCACAATAATTTAAAACCCATGTACAACGATGTAGCTATAACATGCCTTAAACACTGTGAATACGTTCACGTTATTCTCTCGACTATTATTAGGGGACGTGGTCTCTAATTCCCCCTCTTTTAAACTTCCAGCCCGCCCCTCTCATGCACGACATGCAAGGCATTCAAAGCGTTGAATAGTGCATGCAAAGGCTCACCAATTCTTCTTTATCGTCCGTTCGTGTCATGATGGATCTGAAATCGTATCTCTCCAAAACCCTTTCGAAAATGCCACCCTTGATGCAGCGAGCTGGCACGGCAACCGATTGCGACAATGTCTGGTGATGACCCGGCGGTCGACAGGTGGTTTGGCCTGCTCCACACGGCAGTCAGGACCGGCTCAAAAAGGTTCCCCCTCTCTGAAACTCTGCTTTATAAACCCAACGGCCTGGGCCGATACCGTACCCCTAGCATGACTCACATCCACGTGGGTTAGGATTTACGCACCGGCTCTGTGAGGGAGAAGCGAAAATAGATCAGCCACTGCGTGAGTCTTTTGGAGCGGACGTCCAGAATTTGCCAGGTATATTCTTAGGAAAAAGTCTTGAAATGCTGCCAGACCTTTCAAGAGGCTTGCCGGCATCTTTTCATTGTGCGAATTGAGTGTAGAGAGCTCAGGGAAATTAGTCAATTAGGTACGATCAATGGTAAAGTTTGTCTGAGCGTAGGCATATCGAATCATGAGAGGGGCAGTCTAGGTTAAAAGAACCTGGCTTGGGCTCAATATCTGTTTTGAAAGAGGGGACATTCCTTCTTCCCTCATTGCGTCGGTCAATCTTCCTCCCCTGCACTTCTCGACTTTTAATACGAATGCATTGCAAACTTGAAGCTACACCCGAAATGGGTGAGATGTCGAGTATGCATTCCCTTTAATGAGCGCCACAAAAAGAAAGGAAACGGATTTCGAAGGGAACTGTTAATTCAATCCACCAATAATCTGGTGTGTGTGTCTGGTACCGGGATGCATGACGTATTGAACCCATAAGTTCAGATCTGGTTTAAAGACTATGCTTCCTTGCACAGACTCAGAGTACAAACATAAAATGCCATAGTGGGAAAAATTCTGATACTAGTCTTGTACCACTTTGGTCTTGGATATGGGCTACGCTACCCAACGATATTAGGTTAAGAGAAAACATGGAAACATTTAGAAAACGCAAGAAAAAGTGGCATGTTTTGCTCATAAAACACTGTTTAAAGAGCGCCCTCACTCTGAAAGTGCGCCCTCTTTTCTGAGTTGACTCTTTGAGGGGCTTATTTTTTTGGGATAAATTACAAAAAAAAAATCGATGTCATTTTGAAACCAAACTTTACTGAGCCATGGTGCGCTTAAACTGGTTCTGCCCAACATGGGAATCCTGACAACTTGTCTGTAGCTCCACAGATCGGATTTTATCAAAATGCAGAACGCATGCCGCCATGCCGCCTACATGCTAGTCCCATCTTGCAAAAAAGAGAGAAGAATCAAGATACCATGTATGTCCATCTCATTAATGAGGGCAACGTGCTACATTGTAATGATCTCAACTTTTCATGATTTGAAAAATATAATGTAGGCCTACTTTCGGCTTTATTTAATTTAAAACAATCGTGGAATATACCTTTGAAGTGTACAGGGAGGAGTAAATTTAGAGCGGAAGAACCCGTCTGCATGGAACAGATGCTTACTTGTCGTGAAACTGAAAGAAGAAAGCACCCAAGCCCGCCTCATACTCCAACCACAAAGATTTTCACTGTTTCACGGATAGAGTAGAATTAGCCTGGATAAAGTGTGCCTCGCCCGTTCGTCTAGCCTCCTACATTTTTGAGCAAAGGATTGACATTTTGAGGGAACACGCGGAAGTCTTTTTGATCATTTAGAACTGGATAGGCCAAAAGTAGTCAGATCGTCAAAGTATTTACGATCTATAGTAAATAATAAGCAATATTATTGCCTCGGTTCAATAACACGTTGTAGTTTACTTATTGGAGAATAACAAAACCACATAACACAAACTGCAAAATTCAATCTGGCTTAAAATTCATTAATTTCCCTAATAATGCGAACTGCTTTGTTTAAAATGAGTTGACAATACCCTTTCTATCAACATTAAGTAGGACTACAAAATTATTCCAAGTTGAGATCAGGTTTAGGCCTACACGAGTTTTATATTATAATTTAATAATGCGTATTTATTTAAAATGCAATTTTTTAATGTATTTTTTTTTAGTGAACGAGGTTTAAGCAATTTCTACCGTTGCTTGGGGAAAGTAAGTCTTTTTGATATACTGAAATATTAAGCGTCTACTCTTATATACTTTACTCTATATAGGCCTATATGTACTCTTAAAATCGAGTGACTTAGTTGTAGTATTGCGTTAAAAATGTCTGACTCTGAGTTGTTCACACGAATGCGCATGCAAGAGTAAGACTCCATGCCATTCCTCTGCAGGTAAAAATTACTCGCCGTATAAAAGGAAACCATTAGCGACAATGGAGCACTCCATCTTCTTTCAAGTCACTTATACTGCAGAACTTGCAGTGGCGAATCGAGGTCTTAATTCCCCTTCTTATTTAATATCTTGGGCCCCAAAATATGAAAACCATGCAGAAAAACAAAGCATATTACCTACAAACCTTCTCTTGGCAGATAACCCTCCCCCTGTTGATCCAAAACCTGGATCTGCTCATGACTTAATTTAGGCTTTCTTTTAAGTGAACAGTTACCTTTTGGTAGTATTTTATGCATATCAGCGGTCGACACCGTGATGACCTTTCTACTTTACAGGAATACAAGAAGACTATTTCATTCTAGAAGGAAGTCTGAAGAAAAGAGTTGATGATAAATGAATCCATAGAAATCGGTCTTCTCGATGTTAATTGATTGAATCAACTAAGGTAAGGAGGGTTTGATGCATCTTAGAATCAAGGGCAAGAGCTATGATCACATCTTGCCAGTGTCGGTAAACCACAGTCCGTGCTCCTTAAACCTCTGCAGTTTCCTCTCCTTGCTCTGAATCCAGTTGTTTGTGGACTACGGCAACCGACTGTCGGTGCTGCTGCCGCCATCCAGGCGTCATGAAGAATAGCTTCCCGTTCGGGAAGATCTCAGACGGCATGACCATCTTCTTGAGACCTGGAATCTGATCTTTGGTTAGCATCTCGTTCATCAGAACCTGGTCTGAGATCTTGGTCTTTGATTGGTGTAACCTTCGGAGCCACTCACGGACGAATTCTTTAGTCTTCTCGGCGGCTCGGAAGAAGACGAAGCCGGCGCAGTAGGCGACGTAAGGCTTGTGCTGGTCTTCCGCCACGGCCACGTGAAAGTCTCCTTGAAGATACGGGAAGGGATCTCGAAGCCAGACGGTGTCTACATCGCTGAACAACACGTCGTGCCCCCGCTGTAGGAGTTGGTAGATGTAGGCAGGCCGCTTGTTTACCATTGCGTTGTAGATGGGTGAATCCCAGGGTAGCTGCTCAGCCGGAGTGTTGAAGCCCTGTGAGGCAGCAACGTGAACCCCAGGTCGCCCGTACAAGAACGCTGTGTCTCTTTATCCTCTGCCACAATCAAGATCTTAGGGTTAGTGTCCAAACGGCGGATGCTTTCTAACCAGTTCGCAGTAAAGTCCAAGAAAGCTTTGTTGGTGGTGGCAAGGATCACAGGTCTTGGGTCGTCAGCTGGATCCTGCAAGGGTCTCTGAGTTACCATCACGCCCGCTGGGAGTTGGGCTTCCACGAAGCGCACTAGTGTCGGGTCGAAACTCTCTACCTCCTCTTGACTGTTGTTTCGGACATTTCGCATTTCTGTGCAAGTAAAATTGGTCAATATTTGACTTTAATGGCTTTGACATTAGTGATAATCGGCCAAGCGCCGGGTGAGGGTTTGACCTTTTATGAGGTGTTTTTCGTTATATGAACTGCCCAAACTTGACGAGGATCAAACCGAGAACCGAAAGTTTCTGGCAGAAATAACGCAATGTTTTGCGAAATTCTTATTTTTTACACATTTTCAGATGGAAGTGAAACAATTAAATGCAAGTCATCAGTATTAAGAAAGTGCGAAGTTTTTCTCGACTGCATATAACTCAGTAGTTAAACTTGTCAGAACGGCCTCTGAGACAATTTTTTTCGAAAGTGTTATGTGTTCATGCTTGCTTTCCGTAGTTACTCCATTGTAATGATGATCAACCGTAATAAGGTTATCAAATGTTGTACTTATATCTGACCCATACCTTCTAATTTCTGGCTTGTTGCATGATTCAAGGTGCTCTTCTGGAGATTGATGTCGTCAGTGTGTACGGTAACGTCGGAGAAAACTGTAATAAGGGAATACACACCTTCAGTTATTAATTCACGAGACCGCCAAATTTATAAGCTTTTTTGAGGCACAAAGTCCTCTTTAGTCAAGGGAGAGATTTACAGAAGAGTATTGTTAAGGATTGTCGATGTCTGGAAGAGTGTGTCTATTTTGAACCGACTGAAATAATCTTCATTACCGAACAAGGCCGCCGCGAAGCCACACAAACAACTGTAATGAGCAGCAACGCAGGCCACTTTTCAAGTCGACACGTGAACTTCGCCATCTTTAAAATTGAAGAAAACGAAAACAATATTATCAAAAAAATACGTATTAATTCTTTTTCTCGAATACAAATCTGGATGTCACAAATGTATATGGGTGGGCCCCCTACACGATAACCTGCAATACATTTCGAAATTACTGTTTCGGGTCGTATTATGTTTGTCGATGGAACCTCATTTTAAAGACGAGAAACCAATATAAAAATTCTACAGCACAATTCAAAAGCAAATTTCACTTACCTTGATTTATATTCAGTCACATCAAATCATGCGGCAAAATCTTGAATAATACCTCGAAGACGTCGCCCTTTGGTCTTCGAGGTAATGAGTTTATGCGTGGAGGCAGTTATCAAACAAAACGTTTGATTTCAGGCAAAAACATCAAGATTGAGGATGGTCTTGTAAAAATGGTAATAATTGTGATAATAGAAGAACGACTCCGTGTTACAGCGTTCAACGTGGCCATCAAAACGTTCTTCTGTTTTCTAATAAATGAATGAATCCGCGGTATGTATAACGCATTGTGTCTTCGTCCCATGAACGTCATTACGTAACCACCATAGAAATGCTAAACAGAGCCAAGAGATTAACGAACAGGACAAAATGGATTGTAAATAATTGCTGTTTGCTGTGGCAGTACTCAGTTTGGGCGTGGAAAATCCATCAATGTTTGTATTAGTTAGACACGTGGTCCCAACCATGGGCAGATTCGTGGGAGGGGGGGGGGGGCATGCACCACTCAAATAGTTTTGAATTTTTCTAATAATTAAAACCAGAGGACAAGTGAATACAACTGTTTCTGAATCGATACCACTTTCTGAACTGTAGATAGAAACTAGGGGAGGGGGGGGGGGGCGTCCCATAGCGCAAATGGGGTCCCCTGCCCGAAGTTGCAACGGCCGGCTGGCCACGAAGTCCCCGAAAAATGTGGTTCTGCTGGATACACTGAGTCCTCTGGAACAAAATCCTCGATTCCCATTTGAGAATTTCTGTGCTCAAGTCGTGCACTTACAAACGAATGTGAAAGCAACTACCAAACGACGCGTCATCTGTGGACTTTTTGTGTGGAAAGTGATTAACTGCTCGAACCCGTTTGACGTCTTTAAACCGATTTTTTTTATTGAGAAAAAAGTTATAAAATTACCTACATGGCTTGAAAAAGATATAATTATAATTAATATAATTTTGACGTCTTTAAACCGATTTTTTTTTATTAACGAAAAAAGTTATACAATTACCTAGATGGCTTGAAAAAGATATAATTTTAATAAATATAATTTTCGAATCATTCTATAAGAGTAGGTGATGGATAACGTCTTGCACCTTTCCGAACCGCTCAGGCCTCCAGGATCCTCCTTGCATTTAAAAGGAGTGAAGTAGTGAAAACTGTCTTGTTCACCAAAAAATATTTCTCAAGAAAAACAGCTTTTTTTGGTGCGTCAAAACAGTCCACTCGTTCATTTAAAATGATTGAATGTTGATTACAATTTGTTCATAACAAACCGTTTTGAAATTCACAAAAGGGTGCAAATGACGCCTCTCTCACCACGATATAGACAAATCCAATCACGCTAATATTTCTATCACGGAGGCCCCCTTCAATGGCGAAAGCATTGTGCTAGCTATTGTTCAGATAATCCGTCATGGGGCATTGCTTTGTACAACAGCTTGCGCAATGGTTTCTCCATTGAAGGGGCACAGTGACGCTGGGGGCGTCTGTGTAATTATAGGACTTGATTTTGAAGAAAACTAAAAACACAAGAGGGCGTCTGTCATTATTGTCGAACATTCTGACAAACCGAATCGACGCCACACCGTAATTCTCTGCATACATGAATCAACATTATTTTAATAATTTTCAGCTTTCGTTGAAGTTTGGTTTTCATTTACTTTGTGATTCAAACTGCAAATAATACTCATGTTCGACTATCAAAAGTGACCTCCATACTCATTAAAGCACTCTTCCCTCCTTGGTCTTTGAGTTGGAATGCTTTGAATGAGAACCTGGCCTCGTGACAATCAAGATGGCGGGAATTTCATGTCTGGGTCCACCAACCACATGTAAGATTCCGGAACCGCTCCACCTTAGTGTCGTGTCCAACGATCCAGTTGTTATGAACACCACGAAATCACTCCGCTCCCTCCGCCACGTCTCGTTGAAGAACAGCTTCCCGTTCGGGAATCGGTCCCAATTGAGGACCCGGACTTGCAGCCGGGGGACTTTCTTCGTCCTGATCAGATGGTTCATGACGACCTGGTCGGGTTTGAGCTTCTTGTCCTCTGCCATGTACCGGATCCATTCCCGGACGAATTTCAAAGTGCGTTCGGTGGGCCGAAAGTAAACGAACCCCGCGCAGTAGTTCCGATCATTCGGCTTCACCTTGCGGTAATTGTCCTGCTCCATGGCCAGGTCAAAGTTTCCTCGTAAAAACGGGAACGGATCTCTCAGCCAGAAGGTGTCCACGTCAGTGAACAGCACCTCCCAGCCTCCCTCCAGGAACTTCAAGATGTAACGCTGTCGCTTGTTGACGAACTTCTTGTACTCATTGGTGTTGAAGACAAGTTTGTTCGTCGAAGCGAGACCAGACTGTGTTTGTAGGACATGCACTCCGGCCAGCCTTCTATTGGAGAGATACTGGTATGCCTTCTGATCCTCAGGCTACTACGGTGATGTTGGGGCAGGTCTTGGTTCGCCGGATGCTTGCTAGCCAGTTCTCAGTCATGTCTAGGAATGCCGTGTTGGTAGTGGTTAGCACCACTGTCCCGGATCGTCGACTGATATCAGCTTCGGTGCAAGCATGCTGGGCTTTGGTTCTGTCTTGCCGTCATCACTGCATCACCTCCCCGGCCAGCTGCTTGTCTTGCTCCTCGATGGCTGTTAGACGGGTCTGCTTCCTGGACTCCGACCAACGCTTCTTATCGGACTCCTTGTATGTGACCTCAACCTGGAGCTTTCGGTCGAGCTGGTAGGCGTCTGATTGCCAGGAGGGTATGCAAGTCACGTGGTGTTGCATGGT